TAGTCCTTCTATCGCCGTAACTCTTGTTTGAGACAATTCTTTGTCTATTGGTAAATCAAAATAGTTTCATTGCAACTAGAATTACTCTGCTATTTGCCTGTTGGTAGTATGGGAAACAAAAAGAACAAATGGAAAACTGGAGAAAAAATGTTCCTACTCTACTGTCTTAGCTCATATGGAACTGATATGAGTAGATCCAGTGAAAAATGGACGGAGAATCTGCCACTGGGAGAGGTGTTGAGGGATTGCTGTCTGTATTATTATCAGTCATTTAAAAAAATTAAAGACTATTACAGTTGCTGCAAGTGGTTCAAAAATGTGAGTCTTGCCCATTGGCCTCCAGTTTACCTGTGGAGATTGTGGATCCAGATCCTGGTGTTCAGAAGCTCGACCAGTGAAGCTCCCGTTTGAGTCTGTTTGTCAGCTGTTGTAGTCCCATTGCAAGTATATGGCTGAAAAATCCAATCCACTCATTTAGGAAAAATTGCTCCTGTGCGGACTACACCAGTTAGCTTCAAATGTGTTCATCTAAAAAAAAAACCATATTAGGCCCGTTACAGAATCAATTTTAGTAACATTCATACAACATCATTAAAATAATTTTTTTCAACTGGACTACTTTGAAAATAATAAAGTAAAAGGTAGTTATGTAAAATAAAGTGACAGTAAAGAGTTAAGCGGCATGCAAATGAGCTCTTGAATGAAAAATGATAATCTATAGTTATTTGGATTGGGAAAAGATAGACATGTTATTAAAAAATGAAGATTTTTTTAGACAGGATATTACAGTCCCATTTTAAACCATACATACTATAGTATTTCCATTGCAGATTTAATCACTGCTCATATTTAATCCCACGTTCTCCTCTGTCCTCGAACCCTTCCGCAGGGCAGGTAACCGAGGCAGGGCTGGACTTCTGACGCTTAGACAGGCGCCCCGTCTGCCAAGAGGTTTGACAGTATGACTGCTGGGCTCATTAAGACTCATCAAGCTTGAGTGAACGCCCAGTTCAGTGGTACCCTGTGGTAACAACTATTAGATTTGTCTGGACATTAAGGATGTGAGTTTAATTCATGCTATTAATATATGACAGAAACCACTAAAACTTGTCATCTGAGGAAAGCAGCTTCCACGGTAAGTATTTCTCAGTTTGAAACTTGTGAATCTAGACTTCCGTCATCCGGATTTCAAAAGGATTCTGCTTCGAACAACTTTTTACTACTGCCTTTCATCTGCAAAACATCATCTACTTTTTGCTCTCCTAGGGAACATGACTTGAAGTTCACAGATCACAGTAGTACCTACTAGTAGTACGTAGTCCTAGTCGTGGAAGTGAGCGATGCAACTTGATCCAAGTTCAGGTTATGTTGAAATGAAGCTTCACATTTATTTGAAATAGCAGTGTGAGACGTAAAAACCACCGAAATGAAAATGCACCGACTGAATCCGTCTTTGGAGTTTTGAGGAGCTGATAAAACTTTTTAATACTTAGTGATGTTATTTTGCTTCATGATATCGCATTAGCAAATATCAGTAATGTACCTCAACTGGTTTGTACATGGTCTCCTACAAAGAGCCTTGACAGTTTTTCCAGTTGCTTCTAGTATCTATTACCAGTGCAATCGTATTCATCTGTAACTATGGAAATTGTAGTTTATGCTTGACATGTATGCTGTTTTCTCTCTAATTAATAATTATAGTTTATTGGGTTGTTATTTAAGTTATAACAGAAGTCTTGTTTATCCTAATTTATTTTTTTTAAGTGGTCAGATGTATTTCATGTGTATTATATGTACGTCCAAGAGTTCATGCAGTGTAGGCCATTTCCATCTCTCGTACATATGAACTGGCCAGGTTTCTTAATGGCATTTCTGTTGTTGGTCTTTTCTGATTTTTTTCCCTCAGTTTTTAGTTGTCACAGTAGACTTTATACTTTTGTGAGTTTAGGAAAACCTTTGAAAAATGAGCAATGTTTTTGTAAAAATGGCCTTTTCCCCCCTAACAATACATTTCAATGAGATCATGCAATGAGCCTGGTTAGCATCAGCTCTGTTTAGAGTGGATCCCTTGATATGTGCTAGATCTTCTTTCAAGGTATCTGTCTACCAAGTAACTATAACATCAATTAAAAGGAAACCCATGGAGCCAGTAGGTTTTCAGTGTTTCTGTCACAGTATCACACATAATGTTTACCCAAATGTATGAGAAGCCTTGAGGCTCCCTGTTCTGCTGAGATGGAAATTACCACAAAAGAGCAGATTGGGAAGAGGTGGGGCAAGGGCTCAAATGGTGTTTTCTGTAATTTCAATAATTTCTGGCTGTGTTGCTTGACAGACCAATACCACGCACAACTGGAAACCAGTTAGTGGTGGGGAAGTGACGACATGATAGCACACCTAGTCCCCATGTACAGAGGGAAAACTGTCAACGAAAGGAAGCAGGAGTAAAGGAAATGCTGCTCAAAACCCCAAATAACTACAGCCTCATCAGCCCTGCATTCATGGCCCTGTCACCGTGATAGATACAAACAAGAGAAGCGCTGGGATAACTTTATATCTGTCTGCCTTCTGACAGCCTGGGTGTTTTTCTGTCCAATGTTTAAAATGCAGTATTCAGCACCTTTTCCCCTGCAACCACCCCTTCTCTTTGTCTGCGCTGGGATGTGGTACACCGCACGGAATCTTGGTATCCGGCTCCCAAGCAAAATGAACTCTGTTGCCTTAAATGATGTTATCACATTTTTCTGAGGGAGAAAGCAGAGTTTCTTTTTTTAAAAAAAAAAAAAAAAAAAGTTTATTCCTGTGGCCCACAGAGGATTCCACAGCTTTGGAATCACGGGAAAATCCGTGGTCCTGGTAATTATAGGAGTGCCATTTGTATTGCGATGGCTAGAGGTCTGCCAGCATTTCCATTACAAACCCCAGTTCAGTGGTTTATGGTTCAATCATAAAAATGTGGTGCTGCCCATATGCATCTTGATTCAGGCAACGATGTGTTCCCTCTTCTCCCCCTAAAAAAAATGAAAAAAAAAAAAGTTTCTCTTTTTAAGATATGAAAGCAATAAATAAGTGACTAGATGTTGACTCTACAGGTCTTTGCATTCCTACTGTTCAGCGAGAACTTTATTTTAAAATTGCAGTCTACGTGACCTTTACTGTACCATGCTTTTGCAAGTGCTTGTGGCTATTCTGAAGCTAATCAATTTTTTTCATGCTTACGTGCCTTAACTTATATTGGTTTGAGTGAAACAGATCTGTAAAAAGCAATAAATGTATTTTGGATTTAAAGACCAACTCTTGAAGTGATTCCTAAACAAGAGTTAAAGAAAAGAGTTTCAAAGTATTCATAGTTACCAATTCCTACAGTGTCAGTCCCCGGAACATCTGCAAAAAATCCAAGTTGCCTTTACGCAGGCACTGAAATGTGGCTGCTACAGTGACACGTGTAGAATAAAGCACTAACCCATGGGTTTCAGAAGGGTCTCCTTGCCTGGGGCAGTAATCCTGGATTTCATATCTCGAGGATGCCCTGGCAGAAGATATGTGTATTACATCTTAACTAATGGAATTATTTAACCGGGATTGCAGTAGTCTTGTAGACTTTTGTGAGTCTTTAAATCAAATCTGGTTTTCTCCTGAAAAGACATGGCTTTGGGTTTGGTGCAGAAATCAATGACAAGCCTCCACGGCCTGTGTTGTGTAGATGACAACTGAAGGACTCTGGTTTCATCAGGCTTTGAAAACTCGGATATGTTACGTTTAAATGTTACGTTTAAAATATAGGAAAAGTATGTGTGAATTTTAATTGGTTTTATAACCCTACAAATAGCACAGATGTTACCAATAGCCAAGTGTCCTTCCTCTCCTTTATCTCTTGATCTAAATGTCAGTATTCACGGTCCCATGACTTTTCCCATGTAAATATCTGTTTGTGTACTTCTGTGCGATGTTGTGCAAAGCACAGAGAGGTGAGTGTGAACACCATTTAACCTCTTGACAATCCTTTGTAAGTATTTGTAAAATTAATTTGTCATAAAATCTCTTAAGAATTCTTAGTTTATTTTCTAAAGTGGGAGCTTTGGCTTTGATTGTATTTACTGGGTTAAAATGTGGTACTAAATGGAAGTTTCAGACCTTGTAACACTTACTGTCCTGCTGCTGCCCAGGTTGAGGGTGTTCAGTTTGTTATTTCTAGGGACAATCCTGTTCTACTGCGTATTTGTATTTATGCTGGGTTGATAGAGGGTCAATTTATGTACATTTTATGTGTAAGAAAAAGACAAGGCTGTGGCAGCTGTACCCATGACTGGGAGATCTAAAACTTCTTCCCATGAATGACGGAAGTCAAACTGGTTATTGACAGGACTTTCTGAGACAGAACTGTTATCATTTGACTGAATAAAGCACATTCATATGCCTTTGCATGTTTGATTTCCTGATCAATGGCTGAGTTATCACTTGCATTCTGTGCAGAAGCTGGAGCCTTCCCTAGAGAACTCAGATATTCTGTAATAGAAGCTAGGATCGGCCTTTAAAGAAAGTGGTTTTTTGGTGAATTAAACATCGTTGCTTTCTTAAGTGGTCACAAAAAGCATTTACAGCCTTGCTAAATAATGGAAATCAAGGGGAAAAGGAAAAATGTGATTGGTTTGGCATCATTAATGATTAGAACCTTGCAGAGTGTGGGTTTATGGGTCAGAAAACATAAAATGGGAAATAGCAGAAAGTCAGTTTAACAAGTGAAGCCAAAGAAAGACATGCAAAAAAGACAGAAGTACACCAGCTGTATTGTGGGGAATAACAGAACACTTAGAACACATCCATGGCAATTCATCAGAGCACACAGCCTGACACAGGCGATTACCAGTGTGCACAGCCCCATGGCAGGGACAGCTTGGGGTGAATCGTGGTCATGTTTCAGTAATTTTCATAAATGTTGTAGCCTCATAATTTGACTCATGGTTGCTCTCTCTGATGTGTCTCTTTTGTTTTCCCCGTAGCTAACAATGCCAACATTTCCTGTTGTTGTGAAGATCGGACATGCTCATTCAGGCATGGGAAAGGTGCAGATGCTACTTATTGCCTGTTGGGATGCTGGGTGTTCTTCTAAAATATATGCATGTTCTCATCTTTCCTGGATATTTTAAATTTTTCCTGTGCAAATTCTGTCTGAGATCCATGCCCTTACGAATCTCTGCTTGTATATTATTCAAGAAAGCACCTCTCTTTAGGAAAACATCAAAACACAGAATATATTTTCACATCAATGGCTTTTCGGTTTATGCATTGTCCTATATGGGACATTCTTTGAAATGTGCCAAGATGCTTTCTTGAAGTTGAACCTTATTTATTAATGTAGTTGACTGCAGTGAAACTATTTAAGAGCCAAGGTCTGTTTACACAATCCAACTTTTTTCACCTGGCAATATAGGAAGGTTTTGCCTTGGTTCTTTATTAGTTTCAGCTTGCTACTGAACTTTTCTTCATTTCCTGTCTTAATGTATTCTCTGTGATTGTTTCATACCACTATATAACTGCTGCTTTCTTTCTCCAAAGTAATTGCATTTCAGTGGTGAGTACAGTTGTTTTGATATCACTTATCTCACAATGCTGGTTCAGTGGGACATGATTTAAATCCCACTTTCATTGATATCAGTAAAAATTTCCAGTCATTACAGATTAAACGCTTTCTCTCACTGAAAACACTTCAGTGCTTTAAGTGTTTTAGATTTTAAAACAAACAATCAGAGAATAGTTACACTTATCATCTTGAATCTCCAAAAGCTCCATGAACATAGTATTTTCCACTAGTAGTAGAAATAGAACACTGATGAAGTTGTATTTTATTCAGTAATTATGCAAGCTGTACTGGATGGTATGTTCTTTTGCCTATGACTGTTTTGCTTTATTTCGTAGTTAGTAAGTGGAAATCCAGCAGCCAGTTTAACTGAGAGCAGAGTTAACCACTCGTTACGTAAACTGCAGTTTCTGTGGATTGCATATGTGAATTATTAGAATGTTTATACTATCAATATTCACCTCTCATTTCTAGAAAAGGGAAATAATGCACAGAAATGTTCAGCAAATCAAATGTCTAGAAATAAATCTAGATTTTTTTAGATATTAAATATTTTAAATCCTCATAAATTACATGCTAGTCTGTTGTAGTGACATGCTTACTGTCAGAGTCCAGGTGACGGTTCTCCTCACGCTCCAGTCCACCCTCCTGGCATTCTAGGAGTAGGGTTTCCACTGCTCATAATTAGACTCACATATGCTATTAAGTTTTCAGAAATTAGGTTGAAACCAGGCATTGTGTCTGGGTTTGTGGCTCTCAAATGGCAAATTACTCTGTTGTTCTCCATCTGAGAGCAGAGAGCAAATACCTGGGGCTCGTGACTGCTTTTAGCCCCACCTGACCCCGATTAGTGAGCAGGTCCCACCTCACAGCTGCGGCACTCTGCCCCACAGGGTCCCTTGAAGCACCAGGTGACAGTGGAAGCAAAGGCGCTGGGCTTGCAAAGAAATGCAAACTCTCCTAATATCAGATAACATGAGAAATCCCAATCCCTGCCTCCTTTCCTCACCTTTCTGAAATGTACTTTAGGTCAGTGTGTTGGTGAAGTTCCAGTTTCCCTCTCCCATTTTCTACCAGCCCTAAGACTTCCCTTCCCAGTCGCTTTTCCTCCCAACTTCAGCCTGGCAATATAGGAAAAAAAATACTTGAAAATATGAAGCAGAAATCACACTATGAAGTCAGCCATAGAGGTGTGCCCTCCCTGTCCAAAAGTAACACCTCTTGCCTCCATCTGTCCCCTGAAGTCTCCTTCTCCCCTGAATCACTGTTCCCTACTTTTCCACCTCCCTCTTATTTCAAGATGTGAAGGTTGATGGGTTTAGTGCCATTCACCATCGTAGCACACTGTTCCACAGCTAGGCAATCCTACTCCTAGAAAGCCCGACTCCTTGCAGAGAAGTGGGACAAATGAGAAAAACTGGTTCTGCTGTCTTGAGCCAGCCCTCTGTGCTCCACGTGACTCAGGACACCGTGACCCTTCATCTCCTCCATCCCAGGAGATGCGTGATGGTGGGCCCCATATACATGAGCAATTTACAGAATTAACAAAAATTCTATATAAATTAGTGTTGCATATTATCACACCTTGACAAATTCTAAAGCCTGCAGATCTAAAATTCATATCAGCCCTTAAAATAAATAATTGAAAAGCTAAATAAAATTCCACTGTCTGCAAATTGCTTACTACAGATGAGCGGGTATTATTTTGCCTAGGAAAACAGGCACTTCAGTGCGGGAATGTTATAGAGTCTAGAAATCAGAGAAAATATCCAATACTTTTTTTTTATAAACTTATGCTGTGAAAAAACATACTTATGATGCCGTTTGCAACTGATTTCTACATTTTCTTCCTAATTGCTCTTTTTTCTTTTGTATATGCTGTTTACTGGTACTATGGTGACTACAGATCAAGGTAGACAACCACTACGATTTTCAGGACATAGCCAGCGTGGTAGCACTCACTCAGACCTACGCCACCACTGAACCCTTCATAGACTCCAAATATGACATCAGGATCCAAAAGATAGGCAGTAACTACAAAGCATACATGTGAGCCAAAACCTTATATTCTTTCATCCTTTTGTTTCAAAATTGTTAAGCACTAATACGATTAAGACTGTTGGATAGTCTCTGAGATGATGTGGTGACTCCATGCCTCCATTGTCATACTCTCTGGAAAGACTTTCTAGATTTATCAAGACTGTTTTTTAAGTTGGTTGTGACTAGGAGGAGGAGAATAAGATAACAGGTGAGCCTGCCAGAGTGGTTTTCCTGCTAACCTTTGTTTATTTTTTTCATTTAAAGAAGGGAGAAGTTGGCAGGGGATTCATTTTTATAGAGGACTTGTAAAATCATGTTCCTTTGTATCTTTTCACCAACTTAGGGTCAAGCTTTCTTCTCCCTTTAAGGATATTTAGGTGGCATTCGTTCACATAAACCTGAATCTTAAAACTTTCATGGAAGAGAGTACTCTCCTTTCAACATAACACACGTAAGAAAAATTCGAACTTTGCAATGGGCTTTTCGGATATGTGGATGAAAATCTCTTCTGATTTTGGAATCTAGGTGTGTGTTTAAAGATCATGCCTCTAGGAGAGGCTAAAAGGGTGTTTCCGTTTCAGAGACAACATTAAGCTGGAGCAGCAAAACAGGTTATCATGTCATAGTTGAGCTATGGTAACTGTATTTATACCTATTTTTACTCTGTTTCAATTGTCAAGCAATGTAGTCTGACATACACTCATTTAATTGGTGTGTTTAAGACAAGTTAGAGCATCTCTTGTGTTTGTTCCCTCATGCTTACAATTCTGAGGCAGGAAAAATATAACAAAACATGGATAAAAGTATACACATGCATTTCCATGTGCACACACACATACATGTGCAAAGATATTTCTCTAGGAACTGCTGTAACATTGCAGTGATCAGGGATTTCTTGTATGTTGGCATTCGTAAGGGCCCGTTAAGTTCTTTATCAGTAAAAATAATTGAACTCCAAGCATACCGTAAATAGTAAGAGATGCAAAAGTTGGAGCCAGGTTAAAGAAAACGCATAAAATGTTTTATAATATTAAAAACAGAGTTAGCATTAAGTCTCAAGCAATTTAGGAACAGCAACAAGCTCTGTGAGAAAGTAGAACCTTTTGCCCAGGGTGGGGGGAAGAGGCAAAATCTCTCTCCTTAGGCTGATGTTGGAAGACCACATACTCTTGACTTCTCCCCTAAGACATTACTGTCCCAAGATCAAAACTGTGTAACTGCTGGCCTTTCCTGACATCTGAGAGGGGTGGGTATTTGGGAAAGAACATCAAAGATGAGGCCATTCAAGACAATTCAGTGTCCGTTTGCCTCTCAGGGTACATCTGAGGGGCCTCAAGACAGCCCAGCACAGAACTGTGTGGAAATAGTATTCCCACAGGTCAGATCCATCTCAATCCTTCTGCTTTATTTTGAACCCAGATCTAAATGCTGCACAAAGCAGTGTGTTGGAAATCTGAACTGTACACAGTGACCAAGGCAGAACTCTCCAATAGCTTGTGAGGATTCAGAGGTTTCTGGAGCCCTTTGCTGGTGACTTGCAGTGCTCTTAGTGAAGCAGGACAGAAACTCTATAATTCAAGCTCCCTACAAAATTTTTGAGAGCTGGCTCTGCTCCACCTCTCTCTATAGGCAATACGAATCATAAGCAAATATATCTGAATTACACAGCTTTTAGCCCCTGGCTTCCCCAGGACAGTTAATTCCAGTTTGGCTTACTTGTCTTGCACTGGTGCTCCAGGATGTTTTTCTGGCTTTAGCCCCATATGTGGAGACACCCATCCTACTTTTCCTAATAGCACCACACTCCTACACCGCAAGGTCACCTCTCTTCTATCTGCCCAAACCATAGCTTGGTCCAGTCCCACCACTTTGCAGACAGCTTCTACTTTTCTCTCTCCTAGTTCCTACCCCTCATGCCTAACCTTTTTTTCTCCCTTGCCCCTTTCGTTCTACTCAGTGCCATTCAACCGCCTTGTTCTCCCTCTGCTTCCAGTCACCAGTCAGCCTTCTTTCTCTGTCTCAGACCTTTTCATACAGCTACATCTGCCTCTTCAAGGCTAGGATAGGACTTTTCTGTCTTGCTGGTGCTTTAACGGGCAGATTTCTTGTGTTGTGCTATGCATCTCTCCCCTCCTCTGTTTTTTATAATAAACGAAGTTGATTTGTATCTGTCTTATGGCTCCCAGGTGACAGAGTCTCGGGAATAAGGCGCAATGCCTAATAGTTATGACACCCCGCCAAGTACCAACAGTCAGATGCAATATTAGTAACTTGGTGGTTCATTCCCTATGGTAGAAATTGGACCACTACATTTCACAGGAGAGATCCCTACATTTTTTTCTTTGACTTGAAATATAAATGCTGTTCAGTGTCTAGAATAATTTTGGAAGAGTCAGCCACGGTAAATTTATCATTTTCAAACATAAATGTTTCTTATTCATAGAAGAGGCAGTTGGCCTAAAGGACAGCAAAAATAAGTTAAAAAGACAGACTGTTCTTCCTACCTTTTATTTATTTTTAAGTTTCTACTCAGAAACTATGGGTTCATCCAAATGCTAAGAGCCTAGCAATAGTTTTTTTTCTCTAGATGTTTTCATACAGTTAAATCACACACAAAAAGTTAGATACTGATCCATTGTTACAAAGCATCACGAAAAGGAGAAGATTTACCAAATGTCTGAAAAATTCTTCATATGCATACATACACATTATGTCAGTAGAATATTGTTTACAGATGGTTCTCATTTTGTTCTGTGACACAGGAACAGAGTACTTAGAGAGCCACCACAAAAAATACCAGCTGAACCTTTGTTTTTGTAGTTTGAAGAGAGTTATTAAGAGCTTCAGTTTTCTAATTCTGTGGGAAATTGTGGTATAAGTGGATCCATGACTCACAAAACACTGGTGCTTATCATCTGTCAGCGGAGATTATAGCCAAAATGCAACATTGGATCCCTCTGAATACCACAGCTCCTCCAAACGCTTTGTGACGCATACTTAACTGTGCTCAGTACCATTACAGAATTCATCCGACTTCAAGGAAATGGAGTTAAAAGGGTCACACACAATGAAGAAAAACAGAAACGCAAAACCACTACATTTAAGTCTCCTCTCCAAAAGCAATACTCTGAATCCATAACTTCATGTACTTTGATCAAAAGGTCAATTAAAGAAAAGTAGAGCATGTCGACCAAAGAAAGCCAGTGCTATAGAATCACACCACTAGGCAGGCTACCTGCACAAGAACAGTAGGTAGACTTCTCTACGTATTTTTCTGATGAGAAGTCCCTGTCCAGACAATTTGGATTGCATACCTTAAATGGTACTAAATAAAGCAGAAAGGTGCTAGAAAAGGGAAAGCTATGAATTGCCCCAACTTTAACACAGTTCTTCCTTCTTTGCAGAGGTCAAATCAAGTGAAAACAAGTTAAGCCTAAGTGTAAAGCACTCAAAAGTGTTAGGAATTGTTTTCGGTATTATTCAGTGTTCAGTAGAAGAGGAAATAACAATGTGAAAGACCCTTAGCAATTATCAGAACAGAGGCAAAGAAGAGTGAGAAACCTACATATTTCAGTGGAGGAAACAATCTATGAATCCTGTCTGAGGTTTCGAGTGCCAGATGGTCTGGTTGGGTACTTTCTACCACTCAGACACGGTCTGATGGAACAGCCCTGTTGTGTCGGAGTTGTGTCACAGGCACAGCATTGATGGCTCTAGCCCACAGGCTGTTGAGATTACACTGGTTAGGTCTGTGTCCATAGCATTCCTCTCCATCCTCATCTGGTCCTACTGCGTCGTTAGAGCCAGCCAAGCATCCAGCCGTGAGACTGCTGCAGGTTCAACAGGAGACCTTTCATGTTGCGGAGTGAAAGCATGGCTTGGAGCAAACCATCTTTTCTCCTCTAGTCAGTAGTGCTGAGATTACATCAGTGCAGCTGAGGGTTTTTAACTAAATACTTGATAAAAGTCTTCAAGACAATTTATTTTTTTTATGATTTGGTCACATCTTGCTTCCTAAAAGACACCTGGAATAGTCCATGCTAATGAATGCCTTTGAGAAGTCTGCAGTAGAGTGGAATTGTGATTTGTGAGATGCATTATCTCTCTGGTGCAGAATCTGTGTGTAGAGTAGTAATGTACTGAAAATTTTTAATTTGTAAGTACACACATATAAATAATGATCACTTGAAAAAATGAAGCAGAAATCACACAATAGCCTTATTAGTGGGCAAAGTTACCTTACACAAAGCACTCAGCATGCACTTTCCCCTTGCACTGGTTTCTCCCACATCAACAAAGAAAATGGCATCTTAGAAAAACTTTATGCTTTAAAATTCAGAGAACTTTATGAGACTCCCATAGAAAAGTCAACTTTCTCCCACAGCTGCTACTGACCCTTGTAATTAGGTTAATAGAAAAACGGAGAGAAAACTATAGCTGCTGCCTAATACAATTTTAATACATTACAGATGTTATTATTTTACTAACTGGAAACACTTCATAATTTGTATCCTTAGCCTATTCCCAGTACACCAGTTAGGTTTCAGAAAACAGTAATCTTCTCAGCCCTGGTAGCAGTCTTCTGTTCTGAGGAGAAAAAAAACTTTATATTAATTGTTTTTTTCTTAGAGATTAAATAAAAGATAGTGCAGTCAAGCCTGGACACAAACTGTTTAGATTGTATTAGTAAACTAACAAAGAGTGAAAAATGGAGGAGAAACCAAAATCCATCTCTAAAAGAGATCTGAGATCTCTCCAGAGCGTAGATATCTTGATTTTTCAAGTACTGGGACATAACCCTGCAGTTGTACGGATTTGAAATGAGAAACTGAAGCTTCAGTTTCCTGACATTTGCAGTAATAGCACGTTACAGGTTGTTCAATCCATTCATAACTGACAGCAGTTTACTGCGAACACTTTGATTTAATCATAGCAGGTTTTTTAAAAAAAGTCTTAAATGAATAAACGGGGAACACTGATTTCCCAGCATCGTCACACTTCATAACATGCCTGCGGTGAAGTGGGTATTACTGACAACTGTGCTGCTTGTTAGAATTCTTCATGTTTTAGACGTTCTGTTATAAGCTGCCAGCTGTGAAAAAAATGTAAATACAGCTATAGTGTTCATGTGAAAGTCAGAGTAATTGAAGAGATAGTGAAATCTAAAAACACTTGCTGTCTTTGTAATGTTTTCCCCCTTTCAGGAGAACTTCCATATCTGGCAACTGGAAGACAAACACAGGCTCTGCAATGTTGGAACAAATTGCTATGTCAGATAAGTAAGTTGAGTCTCATGTAAAAGGTAATTAAAAAAAAAAAAAAAGATGGAATTTTATTTTAAATGAATTTTTGAAAAATCACATTGTTGTGCAATTCACACTAAATGCATGTCTCCTGTTCATTTTGGGAAAAAGCCCTTTGAATTAGATGAAAGAACGTGACCCAAGGGTTTCCGTAGGTCTTGCCTCAGAGTTAACTACCTGAACTAAGTACCAGCCTGAGGTGCGTACGTGCAGCCCTGGGTTCCTACATCCCTATCTGCACCTAGAAAACTATGGCAATTCCCTTCAGAAAATTCAGTTTTTCAGATTTGACCTATCAATCATTTTGTCTCGTTCATTTGCCCTCTTTACCCAACAGTCTCACCCCATGCCACAGTGTTTTGAACTTCTCTCCTTCTACATCATCTGTTACAACCAAGCAATCTAGTCTTAACTTTGCCTATTCAAATCATATTTCTCTTTTCTACTTTGAATCCTGCTAAATTGCTTATTTTTCATTTTTGAAATTTCCGCTGAACTACACTGTGAGGCTTTGTACCCGGATGCTGGGCTACACCAAAGCTGATTTCTCTCACGTCACCATTGCAGCTCTGTACTGTGGTTTGCTGTGCTTTTCTTTTTCTCTCCCATCCCTATGCTGGATACTTTTTGCAATCCAGTCAGACACATTCTCCTTGCAAAACCATTTTGAAGCTGAGGTCTTCTATTGACAGAACCCTTCTCTCAATGCCGCTCATTTACTCCAGGTTCCTCCACAACACGGAGAACTCTTTTCCTGCAAAATAAATCTGTGAGGCTTTTTGACAGCTATGAATTTTCTTTTGTTCAGCTTCTCCAAAGTTTGCTACCAGTGGAAGCTGAAAAAACTCCGTACAATAAAAGTGTAATTTAAAAGGTGTTTGAAAGTTCAACAGTAGTCTTTCTCTGGGTTTGTTTTTTTTTAAGTCTGAATCTACAACTTTGTCCCTCTTGTGAGCTGAGGGAGAGGCAGGAACTGAACCATTGCCTGCCCTGAGAAAGGTGAAAACAAATAAGACGGGAATTACAGCTCCCTGCTGTCCAACCCCTGTCTAGACACTGTCCTCGCTGATCTCCCCTCTGGGGATGGAGTGGAGCCACATTATTTTCTCTTTCTCATTCCCCTCCCACCTTCCTTTAGAAAGCAAGGTTATGCCTTGACTGTGAGGGGAAAAGAAGAGTGTGCTTTAGCGTGTGTGAGTACAGCCCATGAGCTGGTCCTCTGCGAAAACACAGGCACTCCAGTTTTGCCGTAAGGAGAACTCCAGAGTCTCAAGCCTGGGTGATGAGTGTGAAATGCTAACCTTGCCGAGCCACCTCTCTGTAAATGTTCTGCGTGCTTTGCTTCTGCTGCACTTCCCAATGTGAGATAATTAGAGCATAATAGGTATTTTCCCATTAAAAACACTAGCCAATGAAACAAAACTTCTCTTATGCTGCTGAAGACAAAGGCACGGGAGAGAAGGATGTTTTCTCCTACAGAAAGGGGTATGTATCACCTAGCGCCGCTTTTTGTTCCATGGCACCCTGGTGTGCACCAAGCAGGGCAAGAAAGAGAAGGGAAAATGGAAGTTTTCTGAGGAGATGAAGTAGTTTAACAGCACACCAGCAGCAATCCAGCTGGGTGCACGTGTGTTTCATTGATAACACAGCTCATGAAGTAGGAAGTGTTTTGAAAGCACTGCCTGAACAGACACTGTTGACTGAATACAAATCTTAGTCCAGGAATTTAGGAAAGAAAGGCTGTGGCACAGTAAGGGACAAGGACAAGGCAGAGAAAAGCCCATTTCACGTGTTCCCCATTCCCATTGACCCCTCTGGTTCAGAGGCGCTGCTCCAGGCAGAAGCAGAAGCGCAGCGCCCTGTGCTAACAGGGCACACCTCACCTGGCACTCCAGAGATTTCATGTCAGGCACCTGAGGAACAATATTGTCCCTCAGTTCTAAGGCTGCTGCACACTATATTGGCTCTGGGAACATAAGAACCGTGACCTCTTGTCAAACTGCTGTGCAAGCCATGGGTTCAAAACACTGCGGGCTACTCCTCTCTTTCCAAATGTCACAGTACTTTTCCAGCTCTGTGTTGGCAGAACACAGGCTTTTAAAAATGCTCTCATAGATCTGATTGATGTTCCGGTATTTTAAAGAAAATGTCTTCAATTTTTTCAAATAAAGTCCAGATATTTACTGTTAAAGACAAGTTTTGCTGTCCTCATGACTTTCTAAGGTACATGTTGGTATTTTACAGCAAAAAAAAAATAAAGTTATTTATAAGCAAGTGTATGCAAGCAGTCCAGTCAGTCAGTGCATCTACAGATGCTGAAATTGTCAGCAGTCCAGACAAACCTCTCATTTTGGACAAAAACCATGTTTCTCACAGGAAAATAAAATTATTTTTATTGCTAAAATATTACCATCAGGATTTTTTCACACAGTTGTATCAATTTCTTTGTATTCTGCTTAAAAGAAAAAGTTTTCCACTGGAACAGACTTGATACATGGAAATATAAAGAATGTGACCCAGTAAGTTTACTTGGAAAGGATGCTGTTACTGAAGATATTTATACATGAATAAGACTCTCAGCCCAGCAATGAGTTTCCTTTGGTCCTACGGTGAAGTCAAATGCTGTTATTACATCAATTTTTTTGCAATGGAGAATATTATGATGTGGCAAATCTGTCATCATGGCTCAAAGGCTGGATCAGGAGAGATCAGGAGAGGGTTTGTAAGAGGGAATAGCTCTCATTTATACTCAAATACTAGCCAGTGAAAGAGAAAAAAAGATTGGGATAAATGTCTGCTTTCAAACTGTGGGGTTTTTAGCCAAACGTGTCCTTCGGTTGGTGGCATGGTGATATCTGTCTGGACAACCTCTGCACATCTTCTCCTGACTCACCGGTGCTCATGCACAGCTGTGCTAGTAGCTCATGAAGGCTCTCGATGCCATTCTGTGGCTGGTGAGTCAGTCTTTGCCGCTGAGCTCGCATCACCTCCGAACGCTCTCAGCAAAGCGTTCTGGCTCCTGCCACGTCACTGGCAGTGCTGTACTCGATCCCAGGAACTGCCTCACTAGCAAGTCGCTTTTCGAGGAAGTCCCACTTCATTCCCTTGTTAGTCAGATCATCTCTCTGTTCATAGGATGGATAAAGCTCTTCGTGCAAGAAAAATAAATCATATTGCTGCGTGTGGAATGGGTAAGCTTACCCTGAGGTCAGAAATGGAAGGGAGGAGTACTGTATGAAACGCTAGGCTCTTTTAGGGGTTGTAGAATTCCTCAGAATTCTTTACATTTCTGTTGAATTTTGCTGTAGCTGTCTATTAGCCTGCATGAAGAATATGAACCTCCTCTGCATGCTACGTAACTTCTGCGGTGTTTCATACGTCTGTTTCTCTTGCATCATCCTTAACGGGTTTTTGTCTTGATTTTTCTCTGGCCTTGTTCAGGGATATACATACCAAGCTGTCCTTGCTGCTTTGGAATACAGCTGGGTCTGTAATTTAAGATGGAGACTCTCATCCTAGTTTTCCTGATAATTAATCCATAATGAAGTACACTATCAAGCATAATCCGTGAATTTCACAGGAAAACAGATGCCCTCTTCCCTACTTTCTAAAACCCCTTGGCATCACCAAAGCCACAGAAACCGGTCAGAGGATCAATCCCCCTCCTGGGGAGCTCTCAGATGAAGCGCAGCCACAGCGAACAATCTGTACTAGCATAAGGGCTCTGGAAATGCAGGATGGGGTGCAGCTAAATGCTGCTTGTGTTCCAGCATATCTTGTCTTCTGGTTAATCGCAGTTTAGAGCAGACATGTGTTTGGACCAATATAAACTAGGACAGTATCCAGCATAATACCAGGTCAGGATACAGAGCCACAGCTTTTCTGGATTCTGCTGGGAAGAGTAATGAGGCCAGTATCTCTAAGCTACCATTCTGAGAAATACAAATTCTGTAAAAGTGACAATATAGTGAAAATTCTGAATTCAGAGCAAATGTCGTATAAAATACATTATTAGGTTAAGCCTATAGAAAAACAAGAGCCTGATGAGACACTCACAGAAAAAAAATTATTTTTATGAAACAGGTACAAGCTTTGGGTTGACACCTGTTCTGAAATATTTGGTGGTTTGGACATCTGTGCTGTTAAAGCTGTACATGGCAAGGATGGAAAAGATTACATTTTTGAGGTAAGCAATCCCACTCTTTTCACTATATGCTTTTGTATGTTAAAAACACCCAAGTAAAGAACATTTGTGATAGTTAGGCATTGGCTTATTTGTGTTTCAGGAAAGGCTGTGTCTTTTTGAGCAACATTTAAATCATAATACAAAGCCACATGTCCGAGTTAGTGGCCACACTTGCTGGAAAATGTAACCATATATATATGGTAATGTCTTAGTGTTTGAGGAAATGTACACAAACTACAAAACCAAACCAAATGAGGATGCCACATTTTCCCAACCCTGATGATTTCTTTCCTGAGCAGGCTTACCAGTTTTTCCTGGAAGGTTTATAGATAGCACTATCCCAAGGGAACCCCAGCAAAATTATACCTTTACATGGAAAGGGAAATTAAGAATGAAGTGGAAACAACTTCACTTTTTTCTAGCCTAAATGATACCTTTAAGATCTGATTCCTCATGAATCAGAAGTTTCTGCTGTAGATAGTTTTGAAAAGCTGAAGTTTTTCATTCACCTTAAGTTTATTCTGGATAAATGTAACTTTGCCTAGCCACAAACCAAGAGATCATCACTTGCCTATCACACAGTTCAGGATTTTTTAAGCATCTTCCATGTTCTTAGAATTGTATTTAGGAGATACGCAAGGATCTTCAGAACCTCCCCACTCCAACAGAGGTTGATATTTGCTAAAGCAAAACTAAAACTATTTTTTCTAAACCATGAGAGTAATCTGGAGATTATGGATTGACCTTTCCTAGTTATTTGTATCCATTTTAAGAGAAAAGCTTTGAAGAAGTAAAAATCTTTGTTTTGTCATGGTGTTAAACAGCTCTATGTATTTTCTTCTCTTCACTTTTCAAAAATGTATCCTTCACTATTGCAATTGCAAATAATTCCCAAATCAATCAACAGCACTCCAAAGGACTGAGCAGCTTGCAGCATTAAACCTTCAGCAAAACAAACAGAATTATTCACTACCTCCTGAGATGCTGAGGAAGATTTCAAGAAATCCTGTTTCCTTAGTCTGCCTGGCCAAATCTGAACTTACGGTGTCTCATTAGGTCAACGCTCACTGCAGCATGAAATTTAGGGTTTGATACTAAACCTCCTCTGTTGCTCCTTCATACAGTGCAGTCTTTCCCCCCCCCCACTGCACCCCAAAGTTCCTCTTAAATCTGTAATGCTTGACCCAATGGAACCTGGCTGAGACTCGTAGGAGAGAAAATAAAAGGATTTTCCTCTTTCTGAAGGCAGACAACTCTGACTCCTGGTGATACCAGACAGAGGGAGTTCCCGACCTCGCAGCTGGGCTGTGGCCAGGGCTGTGTCCCGGCATCCCTGCTCATGGGGAAGGTGTTGATTCCTGCTCACAAGCAAGCTCCCCTCCTGCAGCTGGGCTCTGGCAGCCTCCCATATGGCATTCAAAGCTTTGTAGGATACTCTGCAGCTCCCATAGCCCCAAAATGGCTGGGGGGAGCACTTTCCACACACTCCCATTATCTAAATTCATCACATTTGCAATAGTTTGTGCTGATTTGGTTGGCTTGAATCCAATAAATTTTGACCCCAACATTTAAACTATAGAATAAAGAAATGTAGGTTATTTTAAGACATAAGATCTTAGTTATATGACCTTGTAAGACAGTAGTTAAAACTGAAAGAGTGCATGCAAAAAGATACAAAAGTAGAGTAGGATTGCATTTAACAAGTATATTCTTGTAAGAAGTAGAGGTTTCAGACATAAACCAATGTTATTTCTTATACATGGGAGCTAAAGCTAGCATCAACACACACTGCTTCGTCCCTCCTGCTCATCTCTTTTATTCCCTACTTTCCTTTCATCCTGCTTTTTCTGTGCAAATGTAGTTGGACCTTTTGTGGTTGGATGTGAAGGATGTCTCCTTTATTTTAACAGTTGACACGTCTGTTGCACTCAGTGAGCACGTTCCTGTCAGACTAAATGCACTTCACTCACATTCACCCAACTCAACTGTTTCCACGTTTTTGATATTGTGCAATTTTTCAATTTTTTAAGCAAAGTCAGCAAGCATCATCAGCTTCCGCTGAAGTCAGGTACACCAAGTCATTCCTGCATCAGGCCCGGGAGGCCTGGGGGTAGGAGGAGAAGTGGGAGCAGTTTTTTGAAAATGAAATAGCCAGTGCTAATTATATAATGGACCAACAGAGTACCTCACTGTCTGCTTCTGAACAAGTGCCCTAATTTTCCATGCCAGATACAGTCATGCTTTGAAGCAAACAGAATTCTAAGAACTGCAGGATGCATCAGGAACTGGGTTTATAGAGCATTTTAAGTAGACTACATAATAGATGTTGCAATTAAAAGAAAGAGAGGATAGAAGCATGATAATTCTTCCTGTTCTACAGAATCAGCTGAATTGTTTGGGAGATGGTGATGCTCATCAGCAAGAATATTTAGAAGCTGTATATAAGACATTGAAATGTAGAATTGTTTGCAAAGTTCACATCCAACAGAACATCTGTAAAACTTACGATCATTTGCTACTAAAAAGCCAGCTTACATCAACAGTTATTACACTATAATTTTAGCAGTTATTGCACTATAATTCTGTGATACAATGAAGAGTAGAAGACTGTCTGCATCAGTATAGGAAAAATTTTCGCCTTTTGTGTACTTTCAGTGTGGGAAAACAGATGTGTTATTAGCATGTACTAGCACGTCCATGGTGCAATCAAGAGCCAGTAGCAGAGCAGGACAATCAGTCCGTAAATACTGGGTTTGCACTCCCATTGCACGCCCATACTGAAACCTCTGCTCTCATGTTTTCATGGGGACTGGTACACCTCCTACAAAGCTAGATGTTTCTGTGTTAATGACACTTTAATTCTGCAGAAATGATCTGACAAGAAACATACAAACTTCCTAATGTATGAAATAATGTAGGCAGAGGTGTTCTTCCTGATTTTTCAGTCTGAGCTTTCAACCAGTGTAACCCCAGTAGGAAAGCACACATATATGGCATCTAGCTTCAGAGTGAATGGGAATTGGGGTAGAATTCTACTGAAGTATGCTTCAAATCTTCAGCATTCTAGACAGAAATTAACTTCAGAGGGATTTTCTGTAGTAAGATTGGGAGAATGGCATTTTACAGGAATAACTACTTAGTACGTAGTACATGTTTTGACAAAGGTGTTCAGGAGCTTTAGGACATGCGTAATCCGAGGCAATAGTTTTAAAATACCCACAGTGTTTAAGCATTACATGTAACAGCTCATCTGCTTACAAAAATCCATTCTAAACTAATGTTAGAAAACATAACACATAATTTACTGTTTATATGACTATTTCTGGAAAGTCATTAAAAAATTTCATATTGTCCTTTCCTTTCCTTTTTCATCCTATACCAATAATTTTATTATTTTACTGTTGTAGCCATTCAACTGCTTTGTGATGGTCCTTTTGTCATTCCTTGGTTTAACATTCTGCTTTCTCTTATTCCCCAAAACCATGGAGCAACAAATTGTACCAGTGGCTGATATTAGAGACTCAGTACAACATTGTGCCTCATGAATCTCATGTTCTAGCTGTACTTCTTAGAAAACACCACTATAGAGTGATCCTTTACCTATAATCTAGTACGGTACGCTCACGTTGCAGGTAAGAGGTAAGAATGTGTTGGTTCTTAATGTCAGAGCCAGACATCATGCCCCACTTCTTCAATAAGGGTCAACATTTTTTTTCTGTTTTAGTTTCTCTCATAGTTTCTTTTTGATATATATTTGCTTAAAAGGAAGAGAACTTTTAAATAACTTATTTTAAAGCTTCATGGCCATTCAGATTATGCAAATGTGCCTGCTGTGTGAGTAATGACTGTTCAGGAATAATATGGAAGGATTAGAGAACTAAAATGAAAGAAAAAAAATGCCAGGGATGTTTAGGGACACTAAAGTATAGTTCTAGACACCTAATTTCTACATACATAAACCTCATTATGAAATGAAGAAATACACAGATCTTTGTTACTGTTAGCCTCTTGTCGATGTCTCCTTTGTGGGATGCACGTGTTCCTTTGACCAAGTAGGTCTCAATATAAGAAAAAGGAAGAAATTGCAGTGTAAGTACAACTTCTCACATTTCATAGCTTTGGATCATACTTCTGGGTCCATTTTATAGACTTGGGTCCATTCCCCAGGACTAGTTTGTGCATCAGTATCTTCCTGTTTCTGTAGCCACTCGGGAGATTTTTAGTCATTTGAACAAGCTGAAGCCAATACTGCTATTCTTTCCCAAACATTACAACAAAGTTACATTTTTATTGTGTCATTCATCTTTCCGCGCTGCTACAAATGCTACTCCCAGGGGAATTTTGAAGGCTATCCGTTTGTGCTTTCTTTCTGTGGAGTTGAGGGATACCTCATGCATCCCCAGGAAAACAATCCAGACCAATTTGTCTGAAGACAGGAAGGACAAAATATTGAAGATATTATTCAAACACAATACAGCCTGAGTTTTCTGTGAAGCTACAAGCTCTCTGCAGTTGTCTTAGATGGGGGCTGTAATAGTTAACTCTGACTTTTGAAAGAACAGTTTTCTGACAGTTGTTCCCTGGAAGAAATTACCTTCTCTAGAGAACCTTGTGGTTCCTCTTGTCTTTTACTTCTGTTCTCCAAAGAACTATCTCCAAACTCCTGCTAGGGAGCAATGAACTAATTAAAGAATCACTTAGCTGAAAGGAAGGATTGTCAGGTTGATCAGGAGGAAGGTCAAGTTGTTATTCTGTGTCACAGTCTTAGCTATTCATTTAGTGTCTATTCTTTCCACCTCCATTGGAATACTCAGCTGCCAAGCATCATCATGCCAGAAACAAGCTGTAGAAACAAGAATTGTATTAACACATCATTGCAACATACAGCTTTTAACTGTCTCACCAATTCTTGCTCATTAAAGTCCATTAAACTTTAACTTCTTAAATAGAAGAAGGACTTTTTATCTTTCCCTTTTTAAATTAATACTTCTGTAGTTTTA